AGTAGCGACGTCTCTCAAATAATTGCTTAAACTATACTCACTCGTTCCATTAAATGCTGGTAAGCTTCTTGCCTCACGCAAACTTTCGGCTAATGTTAGAGCCATTGCTGTGTTGTTGTATGAGCGCAGTCGTCAATGCAGAGAAAATATTCACACCAGCAGCTACTCAATTATCATTGATATGTGTTTGCCAATAATTAATTTTCAATGTTTGTTGTTGTTGTCGTAGACGTATGGCTCAAATGTGTTTGCTTCCGTTTTGCTTTTAGCTGCTTTGTATTTGCATTTGCAACTAATTACTTTTCAATATTTGTTGTTGTCGACGTAAACGTATCGCTCAAATGTTTTTACTTCCGTTTTGCTTTTGATGCTTTGTATATTTGTATTTGCCAATGATTACTTTCTAAAGTTTGTGAGAGCTTAAAAATATATATGTGCGTTGTTGTTTTCCACTCACTGCGTATTATTTTTTTTATTGTACTTTGTTTTTCTTATAATGAGATTTTTGTGCTAGGTATATTGTTTTTTTTATTTTTTTATTTTTTTGGATTTTTTTACATATATCACATTAAACTTAAGGAGAATTACTCTATCATAGAGAATTGTTCTTGCTGGCTTCTTTTGTTATCGTTTTATAATGTTGGTTTCGATTCCTATTTTTTGTTAAAGGTCATTTGAAAGGTATTTAATTTCTGAATGGATATTGTTCTCAGAGTAAATTTTTTGCTACCAACGGTATAGTGAAAAAAATGCATTGACCTTTATTTCACCTTCAGCTCTTATTTCAAATCAGCAAAAATTTTTTTTGGTTTTCTATTTTTAAAATTTTTTAAACAAACGTCTAAATATGAACGAAAGAAATGAAGTTTCGGTGTTTTAGTTAATATTGTGCTTATTAACAGCGCCACTTATTCACTTAACTGGTACTTATTTTAAGTTAAAAATATGTATATATATGTACATATATATATTTTTTTCTTTCGGTTTAAGTTCACTTTTCTTTTCTATACAAAAAGCATTTGCTTCACACACGAAATGTTCGTTCACTGGATACCATATATATACTATGCGTATCCCATCCTCGTCGCCAGTAAAGTTTTAACAAATAAAACTCTTAACGCCTTTAAAATAAACTTATAAATTCAAATCTTTATTTAGAGGTAATTGGAATACTTGTTCAGCAAATCATCAACTTAAGACTAATTTGTTACAAAGGTGTTGTCATAAACTAAAGCTACGATGAATGAGAAAGGTATGAAGTGAAATTAAAACTAATGTAGCGAGAGCGGTTCACAACAACAATAATATATAACTCGCTCCTCCTTAAAAAATTCGAGTCCCATCGAATCACCTGAATATTTGATAATTATTATGATTATTTATTTTTGATAATTAAGCAAGAAAAAAATTAATATTTTTGATAAGTAAAAAGTGGAAGCAATACACCTAACTTAATTATAATGATTCTTTATTTTTGATAGTTTAACAAGTAAAAAAGAAATATTTTTTAATTAAAAAAGTGAAAGTAATACATTTTTAGTTTCTAATATTTTTTTTTTTGCATAGTTAACCTTTTTAAATTTGTATGTGTAATATTTATCTGATACTTGAAATAAAGTTACTTGTAATTTTTAATATATATTTCTTATGAATTTTCTATTTATACAAATATATTTTTTTTTTGTAATTTTAATTAAATTTTTTTTTTTTTTTTTTAACAGATATTGATTTTAGTGGTCTTCGAAACGGGGCAACATCAACTTTGTTAGGATTACTATAATGATACCTGTTGTAACGTTTTGCAGTTTTCTGCCTTACTGCAGTAGGATTTTTTGTGTATAAATTTGGGTTAGTTAATTCTAATGATAAATTTTCTCTTTTTAAATTTGCTTTGTTTATAGTCTTTTGTTTATTTAATTCAGTTCTTTTCTTTACTTCTTCACAATTTATATCTAATTTGTTTATAAAATCGATTGGTTTCAAATTTGTTGTGCTATGTATTGAGTTATTGTAAAAAGTAATTGCTTTCAATACAAGTTCTTCTACGTTATCTATATTATCAGAATTCTTTAAGATTCGAATGTGTTCTAGAAGTGTAGAGTGTAATCGCTCAATATCAGAATTACCCGTATGAGAATGAGGCGTAGTGAAATGCATTTCAATGTTATTTTCGTTACAATATAATTTTATTAAAGCGTTATTAAATTCATTGTCCATTATTAGTTTACTTGATTTACCTAAATTAGCAATTCTTTCCTGTAATTTTAATTTAACTGTTACCATATTTTTATCACTTAATTTCTGAGCTGATCCTAGTTTAGTAAATTTATCGATTGTAGTAAGAAAATAGGTTTTATGAACTTGAAATATGTCTAAGTGTACCACTTCGTTCGGACGCCATGGCGTATACGTATTTTTAAATTGCTTATTAATGGGTTTTCGATCGTATTTGTTTTCAATACATGTTCTACAAGTATTGCAGTACCTATTTATAAATTTAAATAATTTGGGATTAAAATACAAATCTTTTAGTTGATTGTAATTTTCATGAATACCCCTATGGTTTCCTTTAATATGGGTATCATTAATAATATTTAGCAAAGACTCCTCAGATTCCATATCAGTAGCTATTTTTGTGCATTTTATAAATTTCAAATTATCACTGTTTGAAAAAAGTTCAAATAGCTTTTTCTCTACTTGCTCATATATATCATCTGAAAGTTCAGAAAATATCCCAATAGTGCCTTTTTTAATTTCCCTTCTGAATAAATCGTTCAAATAATGCGAACCGCGAGTATTTATATCATTTTCTGTAACATAAATTATTTTGTATTTATTAAAAAGTTGTTCAATATCGTTGTTTTTATTTTTTACTATCCTTATTTGTACTCTGTATTTATTTACGATCCTATCTGTGATATGAAATTTATGGCTTTGGCTTTCGTTTTCGCTCTCCACGCTACTTATCGAATTTTGGTAAAGTGATACCCGGCTTAAGTAGTCAGCCACTCTATTCTCCTTCCCCTTAAGAAATTCGATATCGAATTGAAATTCATCCAATAGTATTTTCCATCGAATGATCCTGGAATTAGGGTCTTTCATTGAATACAGCCATTTTAAAGGTTGGTGGTCAGTTTGAACTAAAAACTTTCTCCCGTAGAGGTATGGGCGAAAGTATTTTACTGACCACACTATTGCCAGCAATTCTTTTTCCAGAGTGGAATTATTTTTTTTCTTGTCCATTGAGGGTTCGACTAGCATAACACACTGGCTTACCATCTTGACTCAGAACAGCTCCTATAGCTACATTGCTGGCATCAGTTGTTAAAACAAACTTTTTCTTAAAGTCTGGAAAACTTAGTAGAGGTGGATTCGTTATAATGTCTTTTAATTTTTGAAACGAGACTTGATAAAGCTGATCGTTTAGATTTATTTTTGAATCTTTTCTTAAATATTTTATCATGGGACTAGCAATTAATGAATAATTTTTTATAAATTTTCGATAGTACCCAGTGAGGCCTAAAAAGGATTTAATATCTTTTATGCTTTCTGGTAGCTTTATATTTTGTATAACATTAATTTTATCAGGATTTGGCTTTATTCCCTTATTAGTGATTATATGACCCAAGAAATTGGTTTCTTTTGATAAGAATTTACACTTATCTATTTGTACTTTCAAGTTATAATTATCAAGCCTCGTGAATATATTTTGCAAGCTTTCAATATGCTCAGTAAGCGAAGTTGAGAAGACTAATATGTCGTCCATATAAATAATACAAATATTATTAATAAAATCAGACAATACGCAGTTCATCATCCTCTGAAATGTAGATGGTGCGTTTTTTAAGCCAAACGGCGTTCTAACAAATTCAAAATGACCTTGCGAAGTGGAAAAGGCTGTTTTTTCTATATCCTTTTCATCCATTAGTATCTGGTGGAAACCTTTCGCAAGGTCCAACGATGAAAAGTATTGCGCTTTGCCCAACTTGTCGAATAGTGATTCAATATTCGGAAGTGGGAACTTATCGTCTACAGTGATTTCGTTCAACTTTCTAAAATCGATGACCAAACGCCATTTTTTCTCATTTTCACAAGTTGACTTTTTTTCAAAAATCCACAAGGGTGAATTATACGGGGACTTACTATGTCTTATTATGTTTTCTCGCAGCATTTCATTAATTTGACGATCTATTTCGCTCTCTAAAATTTGAGGATGTCTATAATTTTTACAAAATATGGGCCTATCAGATGTAGTAATTATTTTGTGTTTCACGCAATCGGTTGTAATCAAATTTTGCCCTTCAATATAAAATGTTCTTTTATTTTTATAAAGGAACTTTTTTAGAATTTTATTTTCCTCTTCATTCAGATCAAAAGACAATAAATTTCTAAATTTCTAAATTCCGCAATTTCGGATTTTTCTAAATAGTTGATTTCTTCATACTCAATATTAGAAGGGAAATCAAAAAGCGATATTTCATTATCATTAACTGTTATTGTTTTTGTTTTAAAATTAATTATTGCTCCCATTGGGCGTAAGATATTGATGCCTAGTATGCAATCAAATGTCTTATCGGGGCACCGAAATTGCGCATATGGAAACTGTGCATTTAGACATTATTTCGGTTTCAACCGAAACTGTGCATGTATGCTTTATTTCGGTTTTTGCCATATGCATTACTTCGGTTTTAAACCGAAACTGTGCATGTAGGCACTACTTCGTTTTTTTTCATATGCATTATTTCGGTTTTAAAACGAAAGTATGCATATGCATAATTTCGGTATTTTCTCATATGCATTATTTCGGCTTTCAACCGAAACTGTGCATGTATGCATTACTTCGGGTTTTTCATATGCATTATTTCGGTTTTCAACCGAAACTGTGCATGCATGCATTATTTCGGTTTTCAACCGAAATTGTGCATGTATGCATACCTTCGTCTTTCACATATGCATTATTTCGGTTTTCATCCGAAACTGTGCATGTATGCTTTATTTCGTTTTTTGCCATATGCATTATTTCGGTTTTGAACCGAAATTGTGCATGCATGCATTATTTCGGTTTTTGTTATATGCATTATTTCGGTTTTCTAACGAAAGTGTGCATAAGGATAATTTCGTTTTTTCTAATATGAATTATTTACTTCTACTTAGTAAGGGTTTTAATCCCTAAGCGCGGCTGAAAGCCGCCTACGCAGAGAAAAGTTCTGAGCAAAAATACTTCCGCTCTTCTTTTACGGCAATACAGAAAGGAGAATTCTACTTAGTAAGGGTTATAATTCCTAAGCGCGGCCGAAGGCCGCCTACTCAGAAAGAAGTTCTGCGCAAAAATACTTCCGGTCCTCTTTTCCGGCAACACAGAAAGGAGAATTGTACTTAGTAAGGGTTATAATCCCTAAGCGCGGCCAAAGGCCGCCTACGCAGTAGGAAGTTCTGCGCAAAAATACTTCCGGCCCCCTTTTCCGGCAACACGGAAAGGAGAATTCTACTTGGTAAGGGTTATAATCCCTAAGCGCGGCCGAAGGCCGCCTACGCAGAAAAAAGTTCTGCGCAAAAATACTTCCGCCCTGCTTTTCCGGCAACACAGAAAGGAGAGTTCTACTTAATAGGCGTTATAATCCCTAAGCGCGGCCGCAGGCCGCCTACTCAGACAGAAGTTCGTTTTCATGTATGCACTATTTCGGTTTTTGTCATATGCATTACTTCGGTTTTGAGTCGAAACTGTGCATGTATGCATTACTTCGGTTTTTGTCATATGCATTATTTCGGTTTTGAACCGAAACTGTGCATGTATGCATTACTTCGTTTTTCTCATATGCGTTATTTCGGTTTTCAAACGAAAGTGTGCATGTATGCATTACTTCGGGTTTTTCATATGCATTATTTCGGTTTTCAACCGGATCTGTGCATATATGCATTATTTCGGTTTTTTTCATATGCATTATTTCGGTTTTCAAACGAAAGAGTGCATATGCATAATTTCGGTTTTTCTAATATGCATTATTGCGGTTTTCAACCGAAACTGTGCATATATGCATTATTTCGGTTTTTTTCATATGCATTATTTCGGTTTTCAACCGCAACTGTGCATATATGCATTATTTCGGTTTTTTTCGTATGCATTATTTCGGTTTTTTTCATATGCATTATTTCGTATGCACAGTTTCCATATGCACAATTTCAGGGTGCCGTCTTATCAACGAAATGTGCCAATTTTAAAGACATCGTTTCGTTTTTGGCATTAAATTCACTCGGTACACTGACAATTACTTCTTCTTTTATAATATTATTCCCTATTAAGGTATTTAATAGAATAGGTTTTTTTAAATTTCTTTTTACTCCCATGTTAGAGAAAAAAAACATAATTTCCTAACGTTGTTGCAGCTCCACTATCAACTAAGCATTTTGTTTTGATGTT